ACAAAAAACAAAACCCTAAAAAGAAACTCTTTTTTTTTTTTTTTTTTTTTTTTTGCTCTACAGGGCAGTAATTAACCTGCAGAACCCACTTCCACAGGATACCATTAGGGCCACCTAGCAATTAATGGACTTAATAAATAATTATAGAATAGTGAAAATATTTGCCACAATATTCAACTTTTATATGGCATAAAAAGTTAAGGCCATAAATTATCATGTCTTTAGGCTAAACGCAGATATATAACTAACGGGACTGATAATAAATTTTCTCTCTTAGGTTTAATACTTCATAATTATCCCAAACAGTCTTCTCACTTTCCTCCAAACCATCTGTAACCAGCCACAGCCAGAGACAGAATACTGGGTGAGGTGGAACCATAGGGCACATTTGGTCTGGCCATTCTTACATTTTGAAATGACTTCACCAGCCTCAGCAGCAGTAAGAGAAGGCACTTTCTCTCATTTACCCTAAGGCTTCCTTTATTGCACTTCTGCCTTGTAGAGCGGCCTTGATTGATATGCTTGTATTTGTGCCCTATTAGTGCCCTTTTCCATTGCCAAAGCAATACAAAGAGAGCTTCAGGGATAGAGAGAATCAGGCTCAAGGAATGCAGGATATTTCATGCTCCATCAGAGGGATGTGCTCTTTCTCATCCACATCATTTTATCAGGTACTTTGAAGGAAGCCTTTCAAGCATACCGAGACAGATGCACTCAAACACTGTTACTAGCACTTTGTAGATCATTGTGATTACTAGTGTACTACAGGTATTCTTTCTACTAAGGAATATAGTAGCAATACACGAAGCTTGGAAATATCTGTAATATTGGGATATTGCAGTTGTTTCTACAGACAGGAGGAAGCATTATTAAAAAGAAATGAACATTTTAAAAGGTAAAGGGGTTGATGTCTGAGCTCCTAAGTCCATAAAGGGGCACTTAAAAAGTGAGTAAGTGACCTGATGAGCAGTTTCAGCTACATTTGTAGTCAAGCTGAAAGACCCTCCATATCTTACAAAATCAAGTCACTTATTTTTCAGCCTGGAAGTTCAATCAAATCAGTTTATATTTGAGGCAGCCATTTGTGAAAACCTTGGCCTAAACTCTTTGACCAGGGATTTAAAATTCAGTCTAGTATGCCTTAGCTTTACTTTAAGAAGTTTGTTTATTTTTTAATTGGCACCTTTCATTCAGTCACAACTGATCTTTAATTCACTTTAATATTGAAGATGCTGTGTTGTAAATTTGCATTTCAAAGATGATGCTTCTTTGATTTAGAGAAGGCTGAAAAATGGAAGAATCAACATTTATACCAGATTTTTCTTTCTGAACACTCTAGTATTCGGATTTTAGTGGATGTAAACCTCTATTCTTATTTCATATGTACTGGCATATAACTTCTGACATAAGAGTCATATTTCAGAATATGTCACATCTTGACTTTAGCTCACAAGACTTATCAACAGCTAATTAAACAGCTTTTCCCCAGACCTCAGATGGCAAATGAGCAGCTACAATTTTGAAGCTGGGTAAAATTTTTCAGGGAACTATATGGGAGAACACACAACTTTTTGATACCAAAGATCTCAGGAAAAAAAAAAAGAAACACCTTCAAATCCTTTTGTATACCTTCACCCCTCACTCTCTCCTCCTCCTGTTGTCTCCAGAACATTAATTTTCTGTACACATTTCTGTACAGAATGTCCTTACATGGCAGACATTGCAATCTCCCTCTCTGTGTCTTAGGTTTTGTCTTTCACTTCTTCATTTACATGTCAGCATTGATTTTATCAATGCAGCTATGAGAATAATATTTACTAACTAATTTGTGCTCCTTCTCTAACTCAGCCAAAATAACGGAGATATTTTTAAAAATCCTTAAACTACCCAAAACAAATTGGTGACCAAAAAAAATGTTACCAAATAAAAGGCTCATTTGCCTTTGCCTCAACGTCTCTTTACACTGTCTAGTGCAATTGAGAATCAGGCCTTCACCATTTAGGATCTGCTGAACAATACCTTGCAGTTTACAAAAAGATTCAGAGACTGAATTGTCTGTCATTTTTTTCTGTCATTAATAAATCAATCAGTAATGGAACAGGTCTAGAACATAGCAACAAGGTTACCTGTGCTGAATCTCAGACATCTGATACGGAAGCTGCAGGTGTAAGAACACTCGAGATTTTATGTGGAAATCTAGTGATTCAATATTTAGAAAGTTGTCCAGCATAAAAGAATGCATCATGTGAAATATTCAGTGTTTACAAGCAAAGTTTTGTAAACTTAAGAAAGCTTAATTTAAATATAGACACATGTAAAAGCTAAACTAGCAATTTTTCTTTTTTTTTCTTTTTGCATATTTTTGCTAGGTGCTTCTTCTCTGCCTAAAATATAAAGTCCAGAGTGCAGCTGGTGCAAATCCTAAGATTTCAAGCAAGACAAAGATAGTGTCAGACACCGATCCAACTGAACTAAGGACCCATGTACTTTGGGAGTTGGCTTTGGGGGGAAAAGTTCTCACAGAGATACACAGAAGACTAGGGAGAACACCAGCTCAAACACAATAAAACATAATACAAAACACCAACATATATAGGCAGGTCAGGAATCAATCTTTCACACCAGTCCTACATTCCTTGCATAGGTTTGGGTATGCAGAGAATGTGGGATGTGGCCCTTAAGTAAGACATTTTTGCAAATGAAGAAGGGAAGATTATTTGCAACCATACAATACTAAGTTATTTTGGCATCAGCACAAATTACAGGGGCAGGATCGGATTCCCACACAAATATGGAAGCTCTCTAGCGAGCAAGGCAGGGATGAGAGAACAATACAGCAGATTAATTCTTCTCCAGTGACCAAAAAGAAGGGAAATCTTAGTTATTACACATTTCCAAAACTTTCATTATTTTTTCAAATATGAAAAAAGAAGAAGAAGAAAAAAAGACTACAGCGTCTATCATCCCAAAGTCCAAGGGAACATTGCTAGAAATTCTCTTTCTCAAAAGGAACCTCCCTTCAATAGAAATCTGAGAAGAAACCGAAAAAGGAAACAACAGAACAGAATCTTGGTAAGAGCCAAAGGAGAACCACGTAATTTAAAAACAAAGTAGCAGTTTAAATGATACTGCAGGATGCACAGACTCTAGTAGATAATCTCACAGATGACTTCACAGAGCCCCTCATCGACCCAGGTAATTCTTGATTCCATTTGAACAAAAAAGGCAGGGAGAGAGAGAGAGAAGGAGAGAGAGAGAGAGAAAATAATACTAGAAAAGAAAATTAAGAAACATTCTTCCTCTTTTTTAAAATAAAAATCAAGATCATCTCCCCTCCCCCCCTCTATCTGGAAGCAGGTTAGCTAACCTTTTTGTTTTTTTACACAAATACTGTTGTAAATATATTAAAAAAATCAGCATTCTATCTGGTAAACGTCACTTCTGCCCCTCTATAAAATTTTGAATTAAAAAAGTCCCAAGAACTCTTTTTTTAAGTATTACTCCCCTCCCCACCCACCCTCTATTCCTCCTTCTTCCACAAGAATAAATCCTGATGCAACTTTTTTTTTTTTTTTGCAAAGATTGTGGGAACTAACCCTTCTCTTGTACCTAGATCCATAGGTTGCAACCTCTGATATCTTTGATTTTCCTCTGTGTTTCTCTTTGCCTTCTGTGAAAGTCCCTCTTGATTGTGCTGAGGCCCTGGGCTCAGCGAAGACACTGAATAAATTACAGAAAGCCACCGTTGCGCGTTGTCTGACTCTTCTTGGTTTCTGCTGTAAGGTGGTGGTGGTGGTGGTGGCATGGGAAAAGCAGTGGGGAGGGTGAGCCAGAGAGCGTGGGATGGAGCAGAATCCAGGTGAGGAACCTCTGATTCTCTTTCCTCATCCGGCAGGGACTCCACACTATCCAAGCCACACTGCCTTGCACTCCCCTCAGCCCTTTTGTGTGTGTTTGCGGATGCAGGTGTGTGTGAGACAGCAGACACGTGGTGGAAACCAGCAGGGCCTTGTTTCCTCTGGTTGCTGGTCAACCAGAAGCAAAATATTCCACAGTTCTAACTGGATACTGTGAAGTCCAAAAGCGGTCAGAATTGTGAGTTATGTCCATTGAAACACTGCGAGCGGTGTACTTATAACGACAGTAGGCCTTGTAGATTTTGTAATATATTTTGTTTTGTTTTGTTTTTTTTGTAGTGCTCTTCACAAGTGAGAAAAAAAGAAATTGTTTTTTGTTTTTATTTTTCTGTCTGTTTTTTTGTTTTTTTGTGTTTTTTTTGTGTTTTTTGTTTGTTTTTGTAGTAAAGAAGGGTTGTATTTAGAGGCCAGTAGCTAGAGATCCAACCAGTGGAGCTCATGAAGCACTACCTGGCCTTAAGGCCACCATCCGAGGGAGGCTGGGAAAACTATTATTCACCCAGCCTCCGGAAATGTAATGTACCAGCAGGCAAAAAACAGTTCTTCATGTAGTACAAAAACAACAAAACGAAACGAACCCAAAAAAAGGAGGAAAATAAAGGTAAAAATGAAACAAAAATCATTTCTTAAACTCTAGTGCCATAGCTTTTTTTGTTGTTTCTATTTTTTGTTCATAACAAAGAGAGAGAGAGAGATTCTACTTATCCATCTGACACATGCATCCTCATGTGGTCGTTGAAATGCTCGATTTGGTCAAACTTAGCTGGACAGACAGAGCAGACGTACGTGGTCCCCTCCGTGCAGGCCACCACCCCAGCAGGGACGGCCCTCGCGCCAGTGCCCGTGGCTCCAGGTGTGCCGTTGGTGGCGCTGTGCAGAGCCACATGCCTCTCCAGCAGGGTCTTGTGGGAGAACTTCTTCTTGCAGATATAGCACTCGTAGGACTTCTCCCCGCGGTGGAGGCGCATGTGCACGTTAAGGGAGCTCTTCTGGGTGAAGCGCTTGTTGCAGATACTGCACTGGTATGCCCTCACGCCAGTGTGCGTCACCATGTGTTTGATTAGGTAATCCTTTAAAGAGAAGGAGCGCCAACAGATGCTGCATTGGTGGGGCTTCTCACCTGCCCATTACCAAAGACAGAAAGAGAGAGAGAGAGAGAGAGAGAGAAAGAAAAACAGAAAAACAGAAAAGAAGATAATAAAATTAACTCAGCTCTGTATCACTCTTTGCAATAAACTAATGGTAAGACTGACTGTGATCTCTGGAGGGATGCTCTGGCTAAGAAAGAATAATTGTGTTAATAACCATGCTTTCAATACAAAAAATATTTTGTGACTAGAGGTTTCACAGTGCTTTCCAAAGGAGGCTGTAGGTATTCCCTATTTATACACTGTTAAAAGAAGCTGAGACGAATCGTTCAAGTTCACACGGTAAGCAGTCGCAAAGACAGGACTAGAATTAAAAGATCCTGGCTTCTGCCCCCGTTCTTCAATGACACGGCCTCTGCCATCCCAGAGGATGAGGAAGAAGGCTGGCGTTCCTTTCTTGTCCTCATTTCTAAGAAAGAAAGACCTTAGGTCTAAGAAAGACCTAACAAAGGTCTTACTCAAGTTATTTTACCTTTAAGAGCCTCCATTACCCTACTTGTATGCAATAAAAATACGGAGAAAGCTAGTGATCTACCTGCCTGTCACAGATAGCTGAGCTTCAATGCACCCTTTTTTGTCACATTGCTTTAAAATTTCTCCTCAGAAGAGAAATGCTAGAGGAATGCAAAGCAATTCTACTCCTTATAAAAGGTTTAAATTTGTTGCCCCTTTTTCTGGTCAAATCTGGTAGCTGAACCATGGGCAACAGTAATTAAAAGGGTGCTTCAATATACAAAATGTCTCAGGCCAGCTAGCACAGTGGAAAGGGCAACCCAACAGATATACTTCTACTATAACAGACATGAAATTTAAATGCTGTCACTGTCCATTAAATAAAATACCTAATCAGCTAAATCAGAGAGATGAAATACGTATGTCATCTACCACATTGCCTTCCCTACCCAGAGCCATTGTAAAACTGATGACAGCAACTCGTATAAGTGAACTCTGACCCCATCCAGACAAACCAGTGACTATGAGGATGCACTGAAGAAAATATTTAGCCCATTACACATGACTGGTTTGTCCAGACTTCTCTTAATTGTTCCTCACGCTGAGACTTCTTTTGCAAGACAACGTTATAGCCTCATATTTCATGGTATGAAGCAATATTTTCATGATATGTGGCCATATCGATAATGTAGCCAAGTCCCTGAATGTCCCATCAAAATCTGCCTTTTAATTTGTTTCCTACACTACTCGTGGTATATTTCAGGCACGGCAATTCATCATCCCAAAACCTGTCATGGAGAGAGATGGTACCTTAACTCTGAATCAATCAGAATAATTCTCTATTTCACTGACTGAAAAATGGTTTTCCTTTGGCCATTCTGCAATTTCCTATCCAGCGGAGATTCTTCACTTCCACAGACATCCTGCTTCCTTCTTCTTACAATCTATTTGGGACTATTTTAAACTCTGAAGAGTCAATCTTCAGGAAGCATCATGTATCTGTGGCAATATATCATTTACTCTTTGTAGAGCGAGATTCCAATACGCTACTTATATTCAATTTTAAGAGAAGATGATTAATATGGATTGGATGGGAAGGACCTACATTTTTATGTAGGTTATGTAGGCTCTTGCCTTTGTTTCTCTCTCTGACTATTTCGCAGTATGCAGACATGATGCCAACATCTGTGAATGAAATTCACAGGCTGTTCTTCCTTGCATCAATGATGAATTTGAGCCTACTTGGTGAAAGACACTTGGTCAAAAAAAAAAAAAAATCAAGTCTTTACTTTCTCTGCTGTGCCAACATCAGTAGTGTGCTGAGTGTAGACAGGCCAATATGCAGGACACATGCATGTTATGTGGAAAATGATAGCATGTTAGCTCTAATCATGCCAGATTACTGTAGGAGAGACTGATTATATTTACCTTGCTCCTTTTTGCCTTAGGCAATGTATCTCTCAGAGTCTGTAACAAGACCTCCATTCTAGACCCTGTTAAGATTATGCTATAAAAACACCCTAATTTTGGCCTATACATATGTCTAATACACAGTGGGTTCTAGCATTCTAGCCCTAACTTCAAAACCTTCCTGGGAATTCTTCTCTCTTAAGAATCTCACAACATTTTAGGTTTTCTTTTCTGAAGGCAAACTTATTTGGTCCCTAATTGATCACCGTGTTGCCTTTTCCCACTGTGGATTCTTTATTCTCCGGATTCTTCATCCTGAAGTCAGAGAAAGCATTGCTCAGTGAATTAGATGTGTACATTCCTCCTTCTGGTTCTGTATTTCATATTTGGCTCTTTTTAGACAACAATATGGGACAGCTATTGCATATTAATCTCAGTGTGACACGCTGAAGGAGAAGGTAACGATGGCTTACAAGGTGCATAGAGACTGCATGTGTTCTAAAGCCAGTCTGGAGGAAACGTGGCAAAATATAAACCTCTACTATGTTTGTATCTATGTGAGAGAACAAAGGGAGGTAGGTGTGTGCCTACATTGCTCTGCTTTCCTTGCATAAAAAAAAGCTAAATCAAAGTTTTTGAAAGCATAAAGAACAGGCAGAGATTGGGAGGCCTTTAGGTCGTTGGATCCTACTTGAAGCTTTAGACTTTTCTGTGGCTTTTCTTGTGAGCCACTCCAGACAACAAGACTAATTCAAACACTTGCATCTCAAATCTTTCACTTTTTCCTTGGATCCCTTCCCGAGTCACTTTGCCTGGCTTCTTCTCACAGGGCTGAGCAAAGCCACTTCACTAGCCTCCTCGATAGCGGGCGTAGCTTGTCTCCTCTCACAGGTCTTCCCAATGACTCTGCCCAACATTGGACAAGGGAATAGATCTGCTTCTGCTGAGGCTGTACATTTAAAAGCTGTTTTCAGGAGGGTTTTTTGAAGCCCTGTCCTCTGTTGGCTAAAGTGCTATTATTTTCCAGGACACTCTAGGAGCCAATTAGTTCCTAAATGAACTCATAAGTCATTTATCTACCCAATTGTCTCCTTACCATTAGAAGTTCATTATTTTTGGCATTCTCAGAACCACACAAAACATTAAATCACGACTGGGGACATCTATCAATTGCCTTGGTTGAATGTATGATTAGTAGTTAGGAATATTTTAGGGCAGGCCTTTCACTATTAAGTCTTCATCTGATTCCAAATTCCAAATGTAGTGCACAGCTGGGGGGAGAAGGGGAAGAAGCACCTAATCTCAGTGAATTGATTTGTGAAAATGCCTTTCTAGCTTTATGAATAAGGATGAAGGCAAATACATTTGACTGTAATTTCATAGGGATATTTTTCTGAATGACACAACGCTATCTACATGTTATTTTAGTTACTCATCCACAGCAGAAAGATGGAGAACTTACAAAAACAGTAATCTTGGGATTTGGGATTCTTGATCCTTGCAATTATATACTTCGATTCTGTCCTGAGAACTGGACTTTTTATACGTGCATATGCACATGCATGTGTCTGGGTCTTAGATATTTCTAGATAAATTTGTCATTTAACTGATACTTATACATAAATAGAAGTTAAAAGTTTATATACACACATGGAAGTGAAATCTATTTGATACAATAGGGAGGCATGACTTGCATTTCTCTCATACCTTAGGCAATTTATCCAAGTTCCACTCCATATATCACAAATGCAATATTTATTTTAGGATTTGATGTGAACAAAGCCACTGCTTGGTGAGATAAATATTTATTCTATCTTTTTCCAGACTAGAATGTCTCTCCAAAGTTCAGAATAAGCTGAGGCCTAGGGCAAGCAAAATTTAGTTCTGATCCCAGGACAGCATCTCCATGTAAGATAAGTTGTTGCTTTAAAGTCTCATAACTTGACAAAGCTAGAAAAGGCAGTTCTGATTCAGTAGTAAATACAGTTTTCTACATTGTCTTAAAAGATCACACAGTAAAGCAACTGCATTTAAAAAAAAGGTGCTGTTGAAGATGTTGTACATTTATTATTTTAAATTTTTCTCTCACAGCCCTACCTTTCTGTACTCACAGCTAGTGAAACACCTGACTTACCAAGAGACAGGAGATTACAGTAATCAGCATCAGTGAAGTACCGAAAATCTTCCTGAAAAAACTCCAAATTTACTTTCCTGCAGAAGTATGTGATATGTAGAAAATGTGACAGTGCGTGTAACACCCAGGCTTGGACCTACTTAGAAAGCATTCAGTGATACCAGCACCCGGGATAACCTCACTAACCCTGCTGTTTGTGCCGGGGAATAGCAGGTTGGGATACAGAATATAGGTCCACGTTTGTAAAGGGCTTTCCTTGGCTTCGCATATAAGCCAAAGGGACACGCTCTTACCTGTGTGTACAAACATGTGCTTCACGTAGTTCTGTTTGGCGGTGAAAGTCTTGTTACAGAGAGTGCACTCGTAAGGCTTTTTTTCACCCTGCCCACCTGCTGTGCTGTGGCCCGCAGATGGGGCCAGGGGCTGTGGGGCTGGCAGCTGGGCAGTAAAGGTTGATAGGCCTGGCTGGGACACTGTCACAAACTGTGTCTGTTGGCCAGCTAAGGGCTGGGGCAGGCTGAAGAGAAAAGGCTTAGGGCCACTGCCAGCAGACTGTGTGGTGAAAAGGGCAGGCAGGTAGGTGTTGCCAGCTGTGCCAATGACCTGAGTGTTGCTGGTCAGAGTTAGTGGCATCCTCAGATTGCTGGTGAGGGTTTCTGTCTGGCGTAAGTAGATCTGTGTGGTTGGCAATGGTTGGGCAACAGTTGTACTGACAGAAGGCTGCAAAGCCCCCTTTTCGGTGCTGTTATTGACTGTGAGCACTTTGCTGTCCATTTCAACGTCATTGCTTCTCTCCGGCGAGGAAGAGTTGGCATCTACATGCTGCTGCTGAGGCTGAGTGCCGTCAGCAGAGATGTCGGTTTGATCTGCTTGGGAAGGTTCTTGCTGCCCGTCTCGGCCCAGGCCAGCCATAAACTGGTGCTCCATGGAATCGGGCTCAGTGCCAATGGAGGAACTGACTCCCGAGTCAAAACTCTCCCCTTTGGGCTCACTCTCAGTGCCTTCTGCTTGGTCAGTGTCCTCAGTGCATTCCTCAGACTCATTGCGCTCAAGGATCTGCACCCTCTGTTGGCCATAGTAGTCATAGTCATCCTCCATCTCCTGCTTAATATGGATGTTGCCCACCAGGGTTTGAATTCGGACAGGGCGTGGTTGCTTGCGGCAGTGTGTGGTCTCTGGAGTGGTGGTAAGATACCGCTCCATCTGCTGTGATCTCTCATGGATCCGGGTAATCCAGCTGGGGTCTTCCATGTGATGGTCCCTGGGGAGGCCGAGGGCTGTTTCATGGTGGCTGACCACAGCCCCGCTGTAGAAGGAGCGCTCCCCGCTGCCATTTTGCATGGAACACGCGTAGAGGGCTGAGTAGATCCTATCCACGCTGTGCTGTGAGTGGCTCTGCAGGTAGCCAGACTCCGTGTCAGTGCTCTGCCCCGAGGTGCCTGATTCGGGTGTTCCCCTGGGTGTCTCCTGGCCAGAATCCTGAATCACTGGGTAGACCTCTCCCACGTTTTGCGAGACAATCCTTGTGCACTCATCAATCACAGTCTTGATCTGCAGGATGCTGGCAGCTGTGAGGATTTGCAGGGCCTCCGACTGCGAGACCCGCAGCACCCCACTGTACATGAAGTCAATGAGCTTTTGCACGGACTGGACTGACACCACCGAGGGGATCTCGATGTCACTGTAGCCCAGCAGCAGCTTGTCCTGGAAGAAGGGGCTGCCAGCCGCCAGCACGCAACGGTGGGCGCGTAGCATGCTCCCGTGGATGCGGACCGTCACGTCACAGAAGTGGCCACGGTTGCGCTGCTCGTTGAGGGTCTCGAGCACAGAATTGCTGAAGTTGTGAAGGTTGATGCTATGAATGCGCTCTGTCATCCCCTTGCAACTGATGTTACCTGTAGCAAAGCACGAGACAAAGCAGAACAACAGATTGGGTCTTGTCCTCTGCAGAGCCACAGTCAAGACACTGGCTAAGGTGACTGCCCACTGGATAAACAAAACAGATAATATTGCAAAAAATCACATATAAAGGCACTGATAAGAAGACATCACCTTTGTTAAGGAAAGAAGTACATTTCTGTCACTCATTAGCAGCTCAGTCCTGAATTAGTCCTGAATTTCTGGATAAAATAGGACAAAGACAGGTGTACCTGGCCTAAATTCCAGTCACATTCCTGGGCCTAGGATTTCCTATCAGCTTATATGACTTAGTGAGCCTGGAGCCAGCCAACTGTAAACACCGAGCATGTAGATTAAAGCTGGATTTTAGGCTGTCTGAATGTGGATCCAAACCAGAAAAGATGACATTCTTACTTTAATGAACTTTTACACCAATTTGTTAGCACAAAGAGTCTGCATGAACATCTGGCCTCTATCTAGATCATGATTTTACGGAATCTGGATCCTGGGTTTTATGGTTGAGCCACTTGTATCAAAAAGCTGGCAGCTACTTTGTAAAATCCAAATCTGATTCAAGATTTAGAATACAGATGGCCTTAAAACCCAAGCACAGTTTTGCCTGGGGTTGTGGCTTAGAACAGAGTGACAAACAGTCCTCCATAAGAAACCAAAGCAAAAAGTTAACATGAGCTATCCCCTTCATTTTTAGCATATCTCAGGTTCTGACTGGCACCACAATGCCATCATATAAAAATAAATGTTCTCTTGCTGCTATGTACTTGACAGAAACCGTAAAATTACAGAAATTTTCATTAAGAAAAACTTTTGTCTTAGTTTGGCTGAATAATCTAAACAAAGAACAGTTTAGAAAAGCTCTTAACCGATTTGGGTATAGACCCAACAGGTCCTTCAGAATAACTTTCACAAGTGACTGAAAAGTAATTTTTTAATCTGTCAATCCAGTGTTCCGTATGTTCGTCTTGCTTCCTTTGGTCTGAATACTTTTTGGTTTCTCTTCCTGTTTGTTACTTATTTTTCATCTATCTAAATTTTGACGGCAGAAACTACATTTTCATCTCTAACTGTGAAGAACCTACTGCCCTCTGAGTGCTAAATAAATTAAAACATTTTTAATAATTTCTGTCTCTCAGCATTTATAGTAAGTACATGCATCACCTTAGTTCCCAATGTGTACACAGAGAGAAGCAATGCAAAAGTCACCGCTGCTATACAGGTATTTTGTTGGAAACACTCCTACCAAAGCTACAACCCCTCTTGCTGCAATTACTTGTTAATGTGTGAGAATCCAAAAGTGAAACTTGGTAGACAAGCATGAGTAAGTAAGTTACACCAGCTTACTGTCCCCATCTGTTCTAAGAAAAACATACAGAGCAAATAAACGGCATTGAAAGTGGTTTTGCATACCTGCCTTTTAATCTCACAGTGTCTCTCTGACTCCAGTGTAAAGGGTGCTTTACATCTCAGACACAGGCAGCAGCATGCTATACTCACTGCAATTTGCAGAAAACTCTGGAGTCCTCCCTCTCCCGCCTGCTCCTTCTCATCTGTCCACTCCTGCCATCTCGAGCACCCTCTATTCTCATGCTTCAAAGAGAAACCACCTCAGACACAGGTGGTTATTTTAATTCTCTGAAGCAGCTGATGACAAAAGGGAAGCATAAAGGTTAGGAACTGGAAATTCTGATGGGGCTAAGCTGTCTGAAGAAGTCCGATGCTAACATATGTGAAGCAGTCAGTTTCAGAAGGGTACTAACCTCCACGTGAAATGAGAGCACTGGGGGGGATGCTCACACAACAGTAACAAGGGGGGCAAATCATTAACAGTTGTCATGGAGGTTGAGAGTTACATCTGTCTTGTTCATAAGCTCTGCCAGGCAACCTGAGCTTCTTTCTCTGATGAGATCGATCATAGGACTGGAAAACCACTCTCCTAGAAACTGGGAGGTATCTCACATAGCCTTTCCTTCACAGGCATTACAGCTATTATCACTCAAAATAATGTACAGAAGAGGGTGTGCCCTCCTCCTCCTCCCTAGGGTCATTTTCCAGAGGCCTCCAGGGCGTTGCAGATGCTTCCCTTCCCAACATGTCGCAGCACAGAGAATTCAAAATCAATTTAAATAAAATGCAGGAGGTCTTGTTTTGAAAGGAAGAGAACCTGGAAAAAGTTTTATACTGGGGAGGAAGCAGAAGAGCGGAAGGCTAATGATGAACCGATAACACCTTTTTTTAAACCCACTGTAGGCCATGGAAACTTGTTGTATAGCTACCCCATTTCTCTGCATTTCCCTCTGAGTGATGGGCTGTCAGTATGTTAGAAATCCTTCCGTCAATAAGTGCTGATCACTACTTGGTTTGCTCCTAAGGTTCCCTTTTCATGCTAACAGGTCTTTATTATAAAGTGCTCCTGCAACAGGAAATGGCTTCTAACTTACACTCTGTTTTATCAAATGAGGTATTTGATCATAGGAAGAGATAGGCAACCCTCTAACTCAATAAATCAAAACCCCTGCCTTGCATATGTACAGGGGGGAACATTCCACATGTACCAGAAGGATGCTATGGACAAGACTTTTGACTTGAGTAGGTGCAGAGAATGCTACTTTGTTCCTGTGCTCCTTGGCAGATAAAATTAACTATGTGAGTAGAACTCTGAAAAGTGCATCCTCAGGACCAAATCCACCTCAAAAAGATCTGATAAGCATCAGGAGACCAGTTGATGTCCCTGGGAAAGTGAATTCTACCACTTATTCGTAGATCATGAAAAGCATTATGTACAGAAAGGAGGCAGGAAAAGGTTCATCCATAAGTGTCAGCAGCCCTTCTCAGGCCCTGCCTGTGGGGAAGAGAGAGTTACAAAGCCACAATGCATTCAGTCACCGGCTTACTTGATGAAAACAGCCAGTCGGGGTTAATCAAGGCTAAGGAAAAGATTTTGGTATGCATTCATGAGAGAGTGATGTGGATAGTTCTCCTACAGGAACTGATCTAGGATGCTAAATTCCTTGAGGTGTGCAAATTGCACTGCAAGTAAGTGACTTTATGTAAGACAAGGAGTAAATTTTGGTTGCTTCTGGTAAACAAAGCCTTCCATTCAAAAAATCCTCTTCTCATTTCTTTACTTCTCCAAGTGAAATAGGAACAGCTACTACTTCTTGAACTGAAAAACAACAGAACTTCACTGCTTAGGGACAAAATAAGAGGGGTGGGTGTAAGAGACATACAGCACATGGTAAAAAAAGAAGCTAACGCAGATTTTGAGGGTATTTTCTCTAGGTCACCTTCCTTGACTTTCAACATTGAAAGCCATACCTATCCAAAGTACAGACAACCAAATCTTCTGCAAGATTGTTGGAGACGCTAACACATAAAATATGGGGGTATAAAAGAGCCATAATTCTCTTTAACAAATTCCACAGATTGGCCTGTAGCAAAATCTGCTGTCCCACGCAGCTCCTCTTTCTCTCTGCAGAAAACCATGTCCAGATCCAAGTTTTGTGGCTGTCCCTTACTTGTGTATTGTTCTAAGCCAAAAGTCTTAAGCCAACGCGCCCCACAGAAGGTGAGCTTATCAACACAGGTATGATTCTAAAGTAAATGCCATGTTCTGACAACGAATACTAGAGCTGTGGACAAGCCAGGGAGTTTAACAGCTCCTCACAAGACCCAGCTACCTAAACACGCATGCACGCACATGTGCACACTCACCTACTCGGCACTGCACAGAATGCCTGGCTCCCCAAAAAGAATGCCGTCTCGGTCTCTTCTCAAGCCTGCCCTTCTATTAAACTCAAGACAGTGGGAACCTTTCTGTGGATTTAAGCAGTCTTTGTTAAGTGTGTCCCCCTCCCTGCTTTTTTTTTGTCCAGTAAACATGATGTAGCGATCCCAGTGGATTCATTCTGAGAAACTCCTGTAAAATGGTTTTGTCCCCTTTCTGTGAAGCAAGTTTTGATTGGAGGGGTATTCACAAACCATATAGGAAAGAATGGGTGTGAAAATGCAAAGGCTATTCTTACCCAGATGGGCAATGAATAGGCGTTAGGTCAGTTCAAAAAAAAAAAAAAGGCAGAAGAAAGAAAAGCAAAAAACCTCAGACAACTGCACAGATTATGCACATTTGCAATCCTCCTGGGATGCAATTTGAAGCTGGCATGGCATAAAGGTGAACCATATTACTGTGCAAGTTTGAAAAAAGCTCCGTTTCCCCATATGCAAATGTACTGATTAAACTGTCAGCCTATTCAAAGAAACATGCATGGAATTCATCCTAGACTAGCAAGAAGGAGCACAACATGGATGGGAAAGGGAAAAACTTTTGTTGTGTAATACATGACTGAGTGCTTAGTTTAGTGTTTCCCTGAATCTCATCCACCACTCCCGCTGACTTTTATGCTATGGGTATTCAAAAGAAGGCGGATTTTACCATATGAATGACAATGACAGCCTCTCCACGTACAGTACCAAAGGGGAAGACAATGGCAGAAGGAAACAGCAGGCAGTGGCCTCATGGAACATACTACAGAAAATGTGGAAGTGCTGTAGTGAGATACAGAAGTGTGGAACAGTGTTAAAGGTGGCTATCTATTTCTCAAAACTACCATACATGGACCTATAAAAAACTGGAAAGGTATGGCCTTTGATTGGATTGGATGATTTTTTGTTTGCCAAAAACATAGAAAACGGTCCCAGCAAACGCACGATGTAGTAGAGCTACAAAGATGTATGGAATACTGAAGACTGCAGACCACATGCGTTTAGGTTCTACATTTTAAAATATATTTAGTAATTTTTTTTGTATAGCCACTAGATGTCCCTTTCTGCAAAGCCAATGCTTGCTGCCTTAATGCTCATAACTGAGGGATACTACAGAATTTGATTTTCTCCAGTGTCCTTTAAAATTATGGTATCTCAAAGCTCATTGCACTATAATGACTAACTAGCCAGTGCTAGAAACACAGTGACTGGGCAGCCA